ACATTTGATATCTTGTTTTATTGTCGAACGTATTCCAAGAAGTACAAGAGGTAATTTATCGCTCCACTTATCATCGTCCTTCACTACCATCAATGATGCTCTCAGTTGACGATGAAATCTCTCCACTAAGCCGTTTTAACTGGGATGATATGCAGTAGTACGCATACGTTTGATTCCCAGTAGTTCTGTGAGTTGTTGGAATAAATGGCTTTCGAATTGGGCACCTCTGTCTGTAGTAATAATGGTGGGCACTCCGAAGCTGGAAATCCAATTTTGCATGATGCTCTTTGCAACAGTTTCAGCAGAAATATCGGGTAAGGGACAAGCTACTGGCCATCTCGTAAACCTGTCAATACACGTTAAAATGTACGTAAAGCCATTAGACGGTGGTAACGGTCTAACGATGTCAGTGTGTATGTGTTGGAATCTACCATCAGGTTCTGGAAACTGTCCATTAGGCGAAACTGTGTGTCGTTGTACTTTTGACTTTTGGCAGGCTAAACATGATCTGGCCCACTGTTTAATCTCCCGATTCATATTCGGCCATACATATCGGTCACTTATCAGTTTAACTGTTGCTCGAATGCCAGGGTGAGAAATGCCATGTATTTTGGAAAAAACTGATCTTCGCATTTCTAGTGGGACAAAAGGGCGCGGTTTACCTTTGGAAACATCACACGTAATAATTAGGCCTTCATCAAGCATAACATCTTGCAAACGTAAGGAAGTACTCGTGCTATTTTTTATTCTTTTCAGATCCTCGTCCATAGTTTGCAGTCTAGCCATATTTTTAAGATCAAACTGGTCTTTTTCTAAGGTATTTAAATGGATGCGGGATAACGCATCTGCTACCTCGTTTTTATGTCCTTTTATGAATCTAATATCTGAAGTGAACTGAAAAATGAACTCGAGGTGTCGGAGTTCTCTTGGCGAGTACTTGTCGTGCTGTGCATTCATGGCCTTGGTTAGTGGTTTGTGGTCTGTGTAGATGGTAAACGGTATTCCTTCTACCATATGACGAAAATGTTTAACAGCAAGATAGACTGCTAGTAATTCTCTACTGAATGTACTATATCTTGATTGAGTGGCGTCTAGACGTTTGGAGAAAAAGGAGAGAGGTTGCCATTTCCCAGCAGAAAATTGTTGAAGAACTGCGCCGACGGCGACGTCTGATGCATCTGTCATAATCGCTATAGGTGCGTTGACGTCACGACGTACTAGTAAAGTTTCTGAGCTTAGAGTTTGTTTCAGCTTTTCAAATACCTCGATTGCTGAAGTACTCATGTGCAGCGATTTTGCATGACCTTTTAGTAAATCTGTCAGAGGTTGGGCCAGCTGTGCACAGTGAGGAATGAAACGGCGATAAAAATTGACGAGACCAAGGAATCTGCGTAACTTTTTAAAAGAATCTGGAATCTGGTATTCTTTTATGACTTGCAGCTGTTCTGCTATTGGTCGAATGCCTTGACTGTCTACCTGATGTCCCAAAAATTTTATAGTTTTCTTACCGAATTCACATTTACTTGGTTTAATGACAATTCCATATTCGGCTAAACGTTTAAAGAGTGTTTCTAAGTGATGTTGGTGCTCCTCAGGGGATTTACTTGCAACCAGTATATCATCTATATAAGCGTAAGTGAATGGGAGGCCGTGCAATACCTGGTCAATGAATCTCTGAAATGTTTGAGCTGCGTTAGTCAAGCCAAATAGTAGGCAGGCGAACTCGAGTAAGCCAAAAGGAGTGGTTACCGCCGTTTTGGAGATGTCCTTGGGCTCGACCGGTATACGGTAGTATGCACGAACGAGGCCAATTTTGGAAAATATCTGGGCACCTGCCATGTTATGGAAAAAATCGTGGATGTGCGGAATTGGGTATCTATCTGCTATCGTCTGCTTATTTAAAGCTCGGTAATCTCCACATGGTCGTATCTCTGTTGAGTTTTTCTTTGGTACCATATGCAGTGGTGATGACCATGGGCTGTTTGACGGTCGTATTACTCCTAGATCCAATAATCTGTTGAACTCTGCTTTTGCTATTTGCATTTTAGCTGGATCTAAACGACGCGGTTTTGCTGAGACCGGTGGACCTTTAGTTACAATATGGTGTGTTACGTTGTGTTTGAGAGAGGCTGTGGAGTAATCGCTCTGTGTCAGTTCAGGAAATTTCTTTAGCAAAATATCGTACCTGGATAATTGATCTGTTGTGGCTACTATCAAGCGAATACTCTCGACATCTGTGGAGATGCCTGAAATCGATAGTTTACGACTGCTATCTATCAATCTATGGTGACTAGAGTCAACTAGCAATTCGTAGTGTTGAAGAAAATCTATTCCAATGATAGGAAAGGTTACGTCGGCGACTACGAACTCCCACTCAAATGGTGTACTGCATCCAAAATTAAGTTTTTGTCTCCGAGTTCCAAACGTCTTTATGGTAGAATTGTTCGCAGCCTTGAGAACTAATGCTGGGTTTGGTTGTAAGCGTTCGTTGGGTGTTGGGGGAACTACACTAATTTCTGCACCGGTATCTACCAGGAATTGTGCCCCCGTTGTTTTGTCTGTCACCCTGAATAGACGGCTGTGAGACGTGTGTTGGCCAGCGACCGCAGTCGTCACCGACCGCCGGCCTTTTCGTTTCCCAACGCCACCGTTTGTTGGAAAGCACAAGGTTGTGTGCACCGTTTTGCGTGTACCCCAAATTTGCGATGATACCAGCATATATTCTGTTGTAAGCTATATTTACGCATATTGCGCGAGTGGCTACGCTGTCTTCTGTACGTTGTGGTAGGTTGTCTATTAACCCTCATTGTCATTAATTGCTCAGTGAGCACGTCGATTTTACGTTCTAAGGCTTCTATGCGTTCGTTTGACGTTTTGTCGACTCTGATGGCTTCTGCTTTATTCAGTCGTTCTATCGTGATAACTTTATCTGGTATTCTGCTAGTGGAAGCGACAGATTGAGGTGTTGACCTCTCGTACATGCGATCCGCGATTTCGGTGAGCCTTTCTATGTCAATGTCGTCGTCTCCGAAAGCAAGAACCTGCTGGATGTTTTGAGGAAGTCGTCGCAGCCAGATTTGGTAAAAGAGACGTTTATCGATTTCTCTTCCTGCAACTAGGCTTTGCATATGCCTCATGAGTTGAGATGGGGTTTTATCACCTAACTCAACATTACTTAACAGGCGATCGAGTGCTTGCCTATCCGAAAGCGAAGTGCATCGTAGTACCTCTTCCTTCAACTTGTCGTAAGGCGCTTCTGTGCTGGGGTGGACGATGTATTGCCGTACCTGCTCGGCGACTTCGTCTGGTAGTACTGTACTCAAAATGCCAAATTTAGCTGTCTGTGACGTGAGCTTATTGCTAGCCAAATAATGCTCCAGTCGTGCAAACCAAAGATGAGGGTCTCTGGGCTTAAAAACTGGTACAGTAAGAGAAACAGTACTAACAGATCCCAGCTCTAAGTTATCAGAGGTATTGGAAGACATGTTACAATTCGTAAAAAAATGGTTTAAGAGTAGCAAAATAGCAAAATTTGTGCACACTAAGAATACGGCAAAATAAAAAAACATACAACGCAGGTGCTTACCACAAATTACTGCAGGTTGTGCTATGAGAAAACACAAAAACGAGTTCGGGATATCTAATAAATATATAGATTCACGAAGATTAAAGTTTTATTAATCCAACAAGTGTAACGACGCGTCGAGGTCAAAAAGTCGTCGTCGAGGTCAGCAAGTTGTCGTCGGGGTCAGCAAGTTATCGTCGGGCTCACCAATTGTTGTGCTGCTATATTTTGACTACACTAGCGTACACGTATATCTTAGTACTTCTTCGCGTTTACAATTGTGTCCTAACGTTGCG